CGTAATTTGGAAATTTTTTGTCTGTTCGCACGCGTAATGCATGAATACAAGACTATTTTGAAAACAATCTGTTAATTGATTAGTAATATGGTAATACAAAGCTTGTGACATACTTTTGTCATCATTAGTTAAAATAAAATTGTGTTCTAGTCTAATAATTTATACTGATTTTAGAAGCACTATAATTCTTGCATCTTTTGATCACAGAGATCAGTAAAAATGAACTCTTACCACCGAAAAATTTAAATATTCAGGTAAATTTATTAAAGAGTTTAAGCAATTTTTAGCTTGTCTAGAATTTAACCTTGTCAAAATATATTTTACCTGAGAGCAATGAAGACATTGCAGAGAAGAACAGTAAAAATGACCCTTGCTGACTTAAGATCTAAATATTCGGGTAAATTAGCTTATCTAGTATTTAAACTTGTCAATATATGTTTCAACTAAGAGCATTGACGAAAAAAAATTAGTAAATATTATATTATATTTTAAGATCTTAGCTTTTATTAGAAGCAAATTGAACGACACTGGTATGTAATATAGAGTAATGAGATTTTTTATTAACTTAAATAAAAACTAATATCTCTTATATTGAATATTTTAGAGTATGCTGAAAACAAAGATGAGTAATTCTATATCAGAATTTTTACATATAATTTTAATGCAAACTATTCAAACTAACCCAACTTTTTTATATACTTTATAACAGAATTTTTTATAGTCGCTCATAAAGAAATTGATAATTTAAATATAATCTAACTCGATTATATACTATCTATTACTGGAATAATGAAAAGGTTAAACATGAAAATTCGGTTGATCACCCAATAAAATAACTTCGACTTTAACTATTTATTATTTCAAATTTTAGACATTAAAGAAATCAATCGCTTTTTCTCATCTTTTCTTTCTTGCATTCTTTTACTTCTTTTAATTCGCTGAAGTCTTTCAAAGCTAAATGTCTTTAAAACCATATCTTTAAGGGTGCGGGCTCTAGACAAATTTACAAAAGAAAGACTGTGCTGCCAATATCAATTATAGCTTTTGGCAGTGTAAGGCCTTGGCTTTTGTGTGTTGTAATGCCCATGCAAGGCGAATAGGAATCTGCAACCGTGAACATAGCACTCCTGATTTGCCTTCCCAAGTACGTTGCATTGGTACTATTGGGACAACTTTTGTACCATCTAGAGTGTTGATAGTAGGTCCTTTGTAATTATCAAATGTGGTAAAAACTGCCATAGGAAGTGAAGGTAGCCTCTGATTTTCTTTAAATAAAATATTTTTAATAGTTCTCATTGACCTATTAACTAACCCTGCTTTAGTCTATAGATTTGCTATTAGCATGATATGCGCACCTTTGGCTAATAACAATTCCAATTCAAGACCCTTTGCTATGTCTGAATCAGCATTTTTGGCTTCACTGCCACCTCTATGATGCACAGCACGAATTCTTGCAACTGGTGCATTTAAGGACTGAAGCATATCTATATTCATTGAATTAACTTCAGTCCACGTTGTTAAGATAAATATAGCATTTGCAAATTCATTTTATTCTGTTCTATTTATTTTATCTTCAAACCATGTACTAAGTGTCCTCTAATCTTCTATTGTAGACTCTCCATCGTGCAGTCATAAAAGAATATCTCTGAAGGTTTGTTGTTCTTCAGAATCTCCTGATTGACGTTGGATACCGTCAAGTTTATAAGCTTCTTGAAATTGTTTATAGACAACAATGCCATTGTTTGGTAATGAGTCTCATGTCATATTAGTTGTATATATGGAAAAATCAAGTACTGGGAGAAGCTGGCCAAAATCTCCAAACAACAAGATCGATCTTCTACCAAAAGATTCATTTTTATGCTCTGGAAAAGCCTGTCGTAACTGCATATCAATTAAGGCAAGCATTCGTCATCCAACCATACTTTTCTCATCGATAATAAAATAATTTACATTTTGTAGTTTATTCTGCAATTGCTTTAGTTTTTTACCATTTATCTCAAGGGCAGTTCCAATAGGTACTGGGATAGAAAGCATTAAATGAATCGTTGTTCTACTAATATTAAAGGCCGCAACACCTGTTGGAGCAAGCACTAATACAGGTAATTTAGATTCGATTCCAACCATCTTATTTAGCCTACTTCTGATCGTTTTAATTAGGTATGATTTTCCTATACCTGCTGTTTCCATTATGATAATTCTTAGCGGCTTAGTGTGAGAACCTGTAAGTATACTATGATAATATGATTCTATTTGCTTAAAGATTATTATTTGATTTTTATTTAAATTTTGATAATCTACAATGTCTATAATAACAGAATTTTCATTTTCATCTGTTTCATTGCTTTCACTACAATTAGATACTCGTTGCACAAAGAAATTTGCTTCTGCAAGGTCATTATCAGAATAATGTAGTCTTGCATCACCAATCCAGTCATGGTTTCAGTCCATATCACGAGATCCAAGATTAGAAGAATAATCAGAAATTGAATCAGAACCTATCTCTGCCAAAAGCATCCAGTCAAATCGACATTCATCTTGTTTATCATCATCGAGTTGTTCCTCTTTACTTTCCTCTTCGGTATTTATTTTATTTTCATTGTTTTCCATGGGCTGTCCAAGTAAATCATTTGGATCTGCATTAATTTCTTCAAGGTACTGATTATATAGAGTCGACTATGAAATAGTATCGTTTTGGATTAGCTGTTGAATATCATGATGACAAACATGAAGAAGGACCTTTATATGACAAAACTCTTCCCAGTCTGGACCTTCTCACAATGGTGATAATCGTGGCCAGATACATATAATATTTTCTTGAGCACATATTTTCCATTGTTTACCACTAAATTTGTATGTTAAATTTAATCTATATAATAAATAATTTTCAAATTCAGAAGGTCGATCCTAATATATTCTTAAAGTCAATTTTGCTATCCATCCAGCATTTTTTGTTTCTCTATTATCTTCATTTTCTCTACCGGTATCGCAAAGCTATTGTGGTGATTCTTTATTAAGATTTAACAAAATGAATTGCTAGCTTGAATGATATAGAGGAATTCCAAGAAGGTTTCTTGAGCAGATATATCGTGCTCTGAACTACTACGAAGCAATAATTTCTGGACTGGAACAAGTAGTTGGTTATCTTGCTTGCTATTACGAAGTACTTGGTCTAAAATTTCTGAAAAGGCAACTGATCTTGGCTCTGCCTTACTTGCATATTTAGAGATATATTGTAATGCTGCATGGATACTAAGAATAGGTTTTAAATCGACATTTGCCCTCCACTCTTGTAATTGAAGTCTGTTATGTGGGTTTAGGTATGCGTTATTTCTTGCCATCACGAGTTCTGGATGACTATAATTGTCATTATGCAAAAAGGTATAACTACTTTCCTCTTTTGGATAGCCATATCTGCAGAATTGCTGACCCGAATAGTTGACTCGAAGGCAATAAGAAGAACTGCATCGAGTGTGTCGTTGTAACTTATTTACTAATTCTATATAATCTTGTAGGTCGTCATTTAATTCTTCACGTTGCTTACGGTATGGATAATGATCTGAAATAGGGGCATTAAGTCCCGGATTAATAGTGGTAACCAAGGAATCTATATATTCCACTACTTTATTTAATGATTCTTTATATCCTTTCATTTGGTCTCATTCGATTTTAAGTGCATTTTGTATTTTTCCAATCCCATATACATGGACACTGCCACGATGTTGCCATTCGAATCTGTATCACCAATCTACCAAATTCTATTTCTTTTTTAATACATTATAGAAAAATATCTCAAACCGTTTATTAAAGAACCAAGTAGCAATATGGGAGTTATCAATAATGTTTTGATTGTAATTTTCATTAGACGGCATAAGTTTATGAAGCTCGGGCCAATATAAGTCAGCAGCGCTAAATGTGAAGAATATTAGTCCTTGGGAGCCTAACTGTTTGATCATATCTGACAACTCATTATGCCTTGTATTTCAGAACTGCATAGATCTGCGCAAGCCTTGACTGAATCTCATAATTCGATCTGCTATATGTTTATCACCTCCAGCAATTTGTTCTTGTATTTCTTCAACCGTAATTTGATTATTACTAAAATTCTGCTTTACATACACCCTACCTTCTTGTATTGCTCACCATCTCATTTGAGAATTAAGTGCAAAGTACCGCCAATGAGCATGACAAGCGAATCTTCCATCTTTATAGTAATAGATGTTTGAAGTACTCGGCCAGTTTGACATCTCTAACATGTTCTGTGCAAAGATCAGCACATCCCGTCAGATATAAAGTTGGAAATGTGCATGCAATATAACCGGGTGTTTGAAACTCATTAATAGGATTGTTATCAATATGTGGCCATATAACGGTATTACTATTGGTTAGAATTCGATTGAGCACATTATTTATTGCAGTTTCTTCTCTATTATCTGAAAGAAGAAAAGGTACAAAAGTGCTTGTTATCATATTTTCTTTACTTTCTACATTTGAATCATCATCATCTATTATTTGATTACACCGAAGTTAATCATTAATAGATCCGTTTTCTGGCAATGATTGAAGATTTTCATTATTGATTATAATTTCAGAATAGTAGCAATTATTTGTCTTTAACCAACATAATGCCCGGCTGACTTTGTCGCGATGTACTTTGAAATCTCTAAATGCTACTGGATCTCTTTCAAATTGCTGATGTACGACAAGTATATTTAATGAAAATAGACGCCGTGGAAGTTGAGTGTTGTTCTCCATGAAGCCTGTAAACTATCATTATAGGAAAAACTTGCGTGATTAACATTTCCTTAATTTCAGTCAGTTCTTGAAGTTCCTTGGGTACTTCGCCTATTTTTAGCTGAAAATTTTTTAGGTAAGCTTTTTTCAGCATAGCAATAGCGACACTCTTTACTTACAAGTGTTATGAATAAAAAACATTCATTGCAAGTAGGGCAGAGTATATACTTTAATTTATTCATTTTAAGATGAAATTGTTGTAGATGTTTTTAGTCAGGTTTATCAAGATTAGTAGAATGTAGGTCAGTATTACCCGACATATTCTGTTCACTCACACGTTTATTTTCCCCCTCCATATTACTAATTAAATTATCTTCGTCCTCATGTTCACTAATATCTGCATTTGTACTTCTAGAATTTTGCCTACTCATATTTGTACTTCTAGAAGTTTGCCTACTCATATTTGTACTTCTAGAATTTTGCTTACTCATACTTGCACTTCTAGAATTTTCCTCACTCATGTCAGTAAGCTGTGTCTCAAGTTTGTTTGTTGCTCTTTTTTGCCATCTTCGCTCACGGTCTCATGCAAGGTGCATCTCACATTGCTACACTATTTCATTTTCTCTACTTTTATATTTTCGAAGCATATCGCGATAAACGTAACCTCCTGCTTGATTTTCCTCTGTTTGGCGAATTCTATCCATTTGACTTTCATCTAATTCGATTTCTTCTATATAGCTTTCTTCCATTTGGTTCTTTTCTATAATTTCTTTTATTTTATTTTATTTTTATCCTTGAATTTGATTTTCCAATTTAGTATTAAGTGGTTGTGAATCCGAGAATTGAATAGTTGTCACTGTTGATTTCAGAAAACCAACGAAAGTAAGTTTATCTTTGCTTAGTGAAAACTTATTTGTATATTATTGTTTGTTTTATTTAATCTTTAAAGAATTATGTATTTGTAGGATTTTATTGAAAGAAATACAAGGTTTTTTATATATTTTTCACCACATACAACTTTCTTAGAGCGCATCTTATCTAATACTATTTTACTTTGGATTTCCCAATGAAGCGTTTATCTATTTCATCCTTCCATCTATTTTCTCTTCTATCTATTTCGCTCTTCCATCTATTTTTCCCCTCTATCTATTTTCCCCCTCTATCTATTTTGTTCTTTCAGAATATGATTTAAGATCCATCATTTTCGCTTAATCCCGCATATTCTCTATACATTATATATCTAATTTCGCTCTTACCTTTGCTTACCATTTTAGGTAGCCTTATGTACCAATAATACAGAATCTGCAATAACTATTTAGAGCGAAGCGAAAAAGCAAAATACTAAAATTGGAAATGATATACAATTGATGAAGCAATATGAGTAAATTTTTTACACTAATCTATCAAGTTTGTTTAGAGTAGAGATGGGTAAGGTAATAAAATAATTACTTATTTACTCTTATTTATTTTTATGTATTACTAATCATTTTTATTACAATTGATCATCTTTATTATTATGATTCACGAACACAATCTGAGTGTTATAATCTAAAATCCGATCAGGCTAATTTTGCAAATACTATATTTTTATTACTCAGCCCGTGGATCCTACTGTATGTAGAGATGTTAATAAAGTATCCCGAGAAGAATTATTGGTAATGTTTTAATAATTTTTTCAGCATCTAAAACCTGGTTTTAATTTCATTTTTATCTGAAGCTAATTTTCGAATCAACATCAATTCATTATAAATAAGCATTAGGCCTTTCTTGTGGATCTGAATTTATATATTTATTTGTTAATTCAAAGTAGTTCCAGAAGTAAATACAGAAGAAGGCGCACGAATGGATCTTAAGGTTAATGTAATTATAATTTCAAATTGAATTAATAAATTAGAAAACATTGATAAATCGTATGCAAACTTAATACAGTCACCTTTCTAAATGCAATGCGACGAGACATATATAAAATTTGGCCCAAATATGCACTTAGAAAGGTATTGTATTTAGAAAGCTAAAGTTTATAGGCGTAGCCATAATAATAGTTGGCCCAAGTGAGACGTGCATTTAGGGAGGCTTTTCTAGAATGTGTACCTTTAAAAACATATTAATTTCAACTTAAGTTTAATAAAATTCATATTATCCATTATTAATATATAGATTTATAAAATTGCTACTATAAATCATATTTTGCACAATCACAAATTTGTTATATTAAAAAATTAAAAAAAAAAGTAATTGAATTGCAATTAAAATAAATTACATTGTTTTGTTTTATTTATGCGTATATTACTATAAAAAACATAGCTTTTCTGCTATTGAGCAACCTATGTGGTCTTCTTGAGCATCGTTATTTTTTTTTAACTGTGCTACAAATTTATAACCACCATCTCAGTAATCCAGTTAAAAATAACATATTAGGGAGAAATCGATGTAATTAGAATGAAAGTTAGGTTCACATATCGATTTCTCCATACTTACTAATTGCTTCATAATTCTCTTATTACTTATATCAATTGATCAATTGAATATGGGCTTGTCACATGTTCGATTCATAGAAGGACATTCTTCTGATTGGCTGATATAAATTAATTGCTTGGGTAACTTATTTATACACTTTAAAGTACTTTTGGAAACATGTTTTACTAACTATGAAAAAATAATTAGTAATAATCAGTATCCTCATAAACTTAGAAGGCGAAATATGCTTGCTATTTATTGGACTATACTCTAGAGTGTGTTAACCAGAAATAATTTCGTCTAAACCTATTTTATTTTGTTATCAACCATAAATTAATAAAGGCTTAATGGTTTTAATTTATATTTTATATAGTAGATTCTTTAATATGGGTTTATTAGTAATAAATACTGTATCTTATTTATCCACTTTATATATATTTATCTATTTTTTACATATTAATAATAAATTCTTTTATATGTATTTATTTGTTTTCTTAATTTCATAGTATTAATTAAAAATTATATTTGATTGGTTATTTATTACAGGAATTGTGAATAAATTAACCAATCATATAAATATCTTTCTATAACTTTAATGATATATATGTACTTATGCTTCGGACTTACATCGGTTTCCGATTCCTAGTTACTAGTAAATTATCTAATCGGTTAAGCAATTTTATATATTTAACTATAAATTGCATAGTTTTTTATTATTATTATTTTTTTATAATTTCGGCAGTCTTGCCTTCATTTTATTAGGCTTTGTAATAATTATTTAAACTATTAAAATTTTCTGGATAGTTATTCTCTCCAGTACCTAAATTACAAATGAAGACTCACCCGGTTGCTCATTGAGTACCTATGTGCGACCTGCTA